ACAGCCGAAGTGTGTGCTACAAAGGAGGAGGAGAATAGATTCGGATCAGCATGAGATAATAAAGTGGCCTCGATAAAGTATTAGGCAGCGATTGATCTCAAACCGGGACGCGGCTTTTTTTGACCTGATTACTTACTATGCATAGATTCCATTAAATAGAGCTTAGACCCGGGAAGCTCGAGGAAATGCTCGAAATGCATAGAACCATCTCTGCGCTGAGCCCAGATTGTAAGTGTGGGTGCCTGTGGCCCTCACCCGCCTGCTCCTGAGCTATGACCCTCATTGGGGACAGGCTGGGAGGTTAAAGGGTTGCCTGACAGCTGGTGGGAGCCTGGCAGAGTCCCACTGGGAGGATGCTTCTTTTCCCTCCCCCACACCGAGCAAGCACCCTCCCTGTGAGTGGCTGCCTCTTCCTGAGCTGCTTGTCTGGCCTTGACAGGAAACTATAAAGTGCAAAATAGGAAGGTAGCCTGGGAGCTGAACAACACAGTCCCTTTGAAAAACTGGTGACAACTATGAATTTCTCTTTGCAGGAAAGAAAAAAAAAAAAGATGCAAATCCACACATGATCTGCCTGGAATCTCCGGCTCCTCACTGACTTCCCTGGTCCAGGCCCTGTGACCCAGCACCTCTCCAGGCTCTGCAGACGTGGAAGGGCAAGGTCCTTGCTTTGGGGTGATACAGGGAAGGACTGCGGCTCCTACCCTTGCCAAGTCACAGCCTGACCTTAATTACCATAGAACCTAAAGGGAGACATTGCTTCCGATGCAATCCTTTATGGTTTGCAGAAGCAAACTGTCTACATAGCAATGTTCCGCATCCTAGCTTCTTAAACATTTAAACATACGATTTGAATAACAAAATAAGACTAGGCCTCCCATCTCAAGTGGTCCTCTGTTCTCGAGTTAAAGGATCTAATGTAATATCTTGTCTCTTTCTAACCTGACCTTCGGCATGATGGAGAAATATCGTCACTACCTTTGTAGTGTTTTTCCCCTTTCCTCTCAAGTTACACCCATCTTTTTGACTGGCAGAAGCTGACCCTGGCTGTCTGAAGCCTGATGATGTCTTCCACCTCCTTAGTCTCTACTGCCAGGAGACTCTTTGCCAAGGATTCCTGGTACAAGGTTACAGAGCCCGGCGGCATCATTTGGTTCTTTACATGTGGAATCAAGATTACAGGAGCAGAGAGAGCTGACGGCAGGCTGACAGCTCATAGCTTCCTTTACTTCCTGGGCCTTAAAGCTGATTCCTGAGTGATAGATTAGGCTCTTGATGGCTGAAGACACCTCCTTGTCCTTTGCACAAGCAACTTCCCTGCAGTTAACAGGATGTGCACTTACTCAAGCAGAAGGGGCAGCACAGACAGGGTTCTGTACTGCTTTGGTGTGCAGTCAAAGTGTTTAGAGCCTTCTGCGTCGACACTGGCGTCACTAGAGGAGTTTCTCCAACGACTGTCCAGCTGGGGATACATGGCCCAACCAAACTCCACCTTTGTGGCTTTGGAACTCTATCAGACCAAAATCAAAGGGGTTTCTGTTCCAGCAGGCACTAGAGGCTTCCATGGCCACTAGAAAAGGTATGGGGTGCACACACATGGGTGCTCTGCCTGGTTAGCCTGGAACGGTCCCTTGAAATGAGCACAGTCCAGTCCATCCTTCAGGGGCGCTCCACACACTAGCCTCTCCACACAGCATCTCCCCTAACTGCCCTGGTGGGTCCCACATAGCTCTTGCTGCTCCTCTAAAACTGCTACTCCATCCTGGCTAGCCGGGCACCCGACCTCTCCCTTGCGAGACTCTGCCTACGTGGTTTACTGTCCTTTAAACCACACGTGCCTCTGGGACAAGCGCAGGACTTCAGTGGTCTTTAAATGTCTGAGTTAGACTACTGACCAGGCTCTGTGACTGCAGAAGAGGATATACATGCTAATGATGAAAACTTGGAGCACATTGCTATTTGTGTGTTGCAGCACACGTGTGTGTGTGCCTAACCTGTGAACGCAGAGGTCAACAGCGGATCCCTTCTACAGCTGTTGTTATAGGTAGTTGTGACCTGCCTGATATTAGGCTAGGAACTGACCCAGGTCCTCTGCAAGAGCAGTACACACTCTCAACTGCTGAGCCACCTCCTGAGTACTGGTTACAGCTATGCAGCAACATGACTAGTCTGAGAACCTTCTGCATGAAGTTGAATATGGACGTTGGTCCTTAACATGCGAGCATTATAAAGATTCCTTGGCCCAGCTTCACAAGACTTCCATTTAGGGCAATACAGCTATCTGAAGAACACCACAGAATAGAATTTAGTAGTTCTACCCGGAAATGTATTCTAAACCTGAGATTTTAAAAACTTTAAGAATTTAACCTTATGCTGTGTGGTTGCGGCACACACCTTTAATCCAAGCACTTGGGAGGCAGAGGCAGGCAGATCTCTGTGAGTTCAAGGTCAGCTTGGTCTAAAAAAAAAAGAGTTTAATCTTGAGTTTCATATTTAGACTTAGAATGACATAGACAATGATTTTTAGAGCTTGATATTGGTACTTGGGTCTGTAAGGTTATTTAACTAAATACAAAGTCTGAATGCTACTATGCTTATGGCCAGGCCCTGGGTACGGGGTGATATGGACCACCCATCTTGCATTCCTATCTATTTAAGCAGGACCATGCTGTGTCCCCTCCCCGTCAGAGCCACACCTGGAGGACATGTGAGACTTTCCAAATGGTGAATGGATAACCATCATCTTTCCAAGCATGCCACCTTTGATTTTCTTACCATGACTTGGAAGATGCTGACCCACAGGGAAATTTTGACAATTATGTGGGCCCTGAAGCTGACACCTTGCTGGCTGGGGTTACTGTACTTGGGAGATAAATTGCTCTTTTTTCCCCAAAAGGCACAGGCTCCCACCCACAGTGACAAATGGGCTCTACAGCCATTGTATTTCCGGGGAGGCTCTTATCTTCAGATGGGAGCACCATCAATGAGGTTGCAGGCAGTGAGGGTCAAGAGGAAACTAAAGCCATTAATATGTTACGAGGAGTAAAGAAATTGTTTTTTAAGATTGGGTCTCAGGATGTGACTCAGGCTCAAGACAAGGGAAAACCACTATCTTTCCAACTCCTCTATGTTGAGTTTTTGACCAAAAGCAGCCAGGCAGGTCTCCATCACCTGGACCACTGCAGCCGCCTCCCCACTGTTTGCTCCCTCTTCACCAAGTTTTATCAAACAAGAACTGGCCTCACTTCTGCTAGATGTCTGGGGATAGATTCGCCAAAATCTTAACACTGAATCCCGTTAAAGAAAAAATTAAGTATAGGATGGTGTTTCCTGTGATTACGTTTTTCTTTATTTTTTTTAAATATGTATTTGTTAATAAAAAGATGGAAGAGCACACATAAGGGATTAAAAAGCTAAGTGCCCACCCTTCAGCCTTATTTTTATGACCTGTGCCCCCTTCCTCAGGGGATGTTCCTTACTCATACATTCACATGCATGTATGGGTGCACACATGATCTCCAGATGTGTTAGTTATAAGTGACCAGCTCACTACAGCATTGAACATGCACTTGCACACAGGTATCTGTTTTATGAAACCCCTTTTCTTGGTTATAATAGCTGAGCTGTCCAGCCGTAGCACAATAATGACCAGGTAAATGAGTCTCCATTTCTTGAACCTGCTCCAAGCTTTCTCGAATGTGACTAACTGTAAGATCTTCCAAACCACCAGAGACCAAACACAGCCCAACAACAAACAAACAACAAAACCCCCAAATTACTTAAATAGCAAATCAAACCAAACCCCCAACCCCACCTTCAGTCTGGACACGAGACCCACAGTTACAAATTGCAAAGGTTTTGGGGATGAGCTTTTAATTTGACGCTTTTAAGAAAAGTGAGACCTAGTCCGGTGTGACATGAAAGAGAAATGTACCTGCCGGTGACAACAAAGGGACATGCATTATGTGACGATGGACTCTGCTGTCACAGAAGTTGGGGGCTTAGAACAAAACCCAAAGAACAAAACCCTCTGAACCAAGAAGAGTGAAAGGCACCTTGCTTACAAAGGCCACGGTTGGCCGACTGCAGTCTTCTGAGGACGGGAGCGGCACCAAGTGCGGCCGGCACACAGCCGACCTACTCACTGCTACTAAAGCTCCGCCCTTCTAACAGCTCGCACCCCCCAATCAACAATCTGGAGTAAATGATGACCACTTGGGAACGGAGAAGGGACCATCTCTGTGCCTTTCCCTGCTTGAGTAAGGACTATCATTTGCAATCAGAGCAAGATTGCCTTGGAGCTGGGAACATAGCGTCGGCCACCTCCCAGTATCTGTTTCTGAGGAAAGATGAAAGATTCACAGCAAACTGATCTCATTTCATTCTACATGAGTCAAGAGGATCCCACGCTACAGTCATGATTTCCTGGAGGACCACACTACACACTACACACTTCTCCTGCTGTCTTCTGTCACCAGCCCCGGGACTTCTGGAAGGGAGTAAGAACGAATGCACAAAGTTGTGACCCCTGGATAAAGGAGATGAAGAGGGTTCTTCATGAAGCTTCAGAATGGAGGGGCTTTCCAAAGAGAAACTTAAGCCCAAAGGTCTGAACTTCAAAAACCTGCGCAGGGCTGGGGATACGGGTCAGCAGGACAGTGCTTGCTTGGCATGTGCAAGACCCTAGGTTCAATAAAGTTAGTCATGTTGGCTTTCTGGCCTGTGGATTTTTAAAAAATGTTCTGGTTTTAGGGAGGCTGGGGCTGAGGGCAGATTTAGGTATCACAGGCTAGCCTCATATAGCTGAGGATAGTCCTTCAGTTTCTGATCCTCTTCTACCTCTCAAAGGCCACAATCACAGGTGCGGCCACCATGCTAGGTTACTAGGTGCTGCCCATGGACCCAGGGCTCTGAGCATGCTGAGAAAGCTCTCTACCAAGCGAAACGCACCTCAGCCCTCACACCAGGCTCTGTTGTAACACACTGAAGGTTTCACTCACCATCAGTTCCTCGGGTGCTGGTCTTTCTTTGGGCTGTTTCCTCATGCTGCAGTGGGAAGACAAAAGACTCTCATTCATATTTGTAACTATTTTTTTGCTGTTAATTTCCACTCTGTTTCTGCTGGAATTGGGATCTTTGCAAAATGTTGAGGGCTATTTGATCATACTGTGAAACTTCAAGACTGTGTTAGTAAAATTAACCTTGGCTCAGGGGTTGGAGCAGCGACTAGTTGACAGGAATTAGCCATAGAGAGGTTGGAGGAACCAGGGATATAGAGAGACGCACAGGAAGGAGTAAGGAGGAACTTCGAGATTCAATGGTCTTTTTGGTTTGGGAGAGTGGAGAGATGCTTCTCTTGCTGGATCTCTGGCTGAAAAGGACGGTCAGCTGATTGTGTCTCAGCATCTCTGATCTAAAAGGTTTTCACCCCAACATCTGACTCCCGAGTCTTTACTAGTAAATAGAATGATAGAGACTTAGTTAAAACCTACATTTGGTGGCCATGGCCGAGTCAAGCCATCAGTTGATTCTGGTGTGGCCACTAAGCTGGCAGAAAGCCAACAGCAAAATCCACCAGCTCAATGCTTGTCCAAAGTACTAACACACATTCCTGATCTTATGCGGGCCTTGAGTCAGACTTCTGGAGACACTGGGAATGAGAATTCTTTTATTAAAGTTAGTGTTGAAATAAAATAAGTTATTGTAATTCTATTTTTAAAAGATTTATTTATTTATTTTATGTGTGTATTTGCCTGCATGTATGTATGTGGCTCGTGCATGCATGGAGCCCACAGAGGTCAGGAAAGGTATGAGAGCCCCCGGAATTGGAGTTACAGGTGGTTGGGAACCATGTGAGTGCTGGGAACCCAACTCAGGTGCTCTGAAAGAGCAACAGTGCTCTCAGTCACCGGGCCCTCCCTCTAGTCCTGTAGTTCTAGTTTTGAAATCACTGTGGAAAGAACAGCGATATTCTCTTTCTGACTCAGCTGCCATCTTATCTCAACCTTAAATTCGGGGAATGGAGTTCTATTTTGGTCACTGGGATCAGAGGGATAAAAGAAAGGTGACAATCAAGTCACATGAGAAAAGACCGTTTGGTTCTGGTGCTCAATGAAGAGCAGTAAATAAAAGGTCAGATGATGCTACAAAACCACAGACGGCTCCTTACACATCTTCATGACTGGCGTTTATTTTCGCTAAAACGCAAGGTGATAATTCATTTCACAGTTCTATGACTGGAAGCTGTAATCAGTAGCAGTTGCCATGTGATGAAGGACCAAATGGTACAGAGGTGACCGCGGGCAGCTGCCTACCTGTGGCCATGCCTGTTCTGAACTCGGAGCATTTGTGAGCTAAAGTGACGATATTTGCCGAGAATACTTTTTTTTTTCTTAAATAGAGATTTAATGATCATTTGGTAAACAAGAGCCATAGCTATGAACCATTAATGACATCGAGGACATTAGCCTTCCCTATAAATAACCATATGCACCTCTCAAATGAGGCATCCATTAGCAAGTGATTCAAGCTGTCTCGCCAGTGGAGTTGGTAACAGTCCTAATCTGACATTCCAAAGTAGCTGTATCTCTTGGGAAAACAAGGCTATTACCCACGATCACTTCTGTTTCGGCTGACATCTGTGGAAATTTCAACACAGGTTATTCCCCCACCCCCGTCTCCGTAAAACTTTTATATAACAGCCAATTAATGTTTTAGATGGGAGGGTGGTAAAGCTTCGCGTGCCGCTCTCCCTGGCTGCCCAGCGCACTCCACTTCCAGGCTGGTCTCAGACCACACAGAGACAGCACAGATGTCGGGTATCCAACCTCTCTCTGTGACGTCCAAAGCCGGGGCTCTAGGCAGCCTGGAACTGCAGTGCGTTTCCTAATTTCTACATAAAGTGGGGCATGATGCACTTGTGAGTGTTTTCAGGAATTGCACGGACAGGAAACGGACAGCCTGATCTGTTTCTGGACAAGGGCTCTGGCGAACAATCTCAATGAGCTCCAAGAGTCAGGAGCCTGGTGTTTTAATTAACAAGCATTTTCCCCGTATGGCACGCTTTGGAAACAAAAGATTTCTGGAGTAAAAACAGTTTCTAAAAGCTATGGAATATGATGTAAGCATTTTAAGTAAATAGAAGCAATTACACTTTTTAGATCTGGGGGAAATTCTCTCCCTCATTTTTTTTCTGGGGGAATATAAACCGTCTGAGACATTTTCATTAAGAGGTAACATATTACACTCAGTCAAAAAGGTGATAAAGCTTGACATTTATATTAAGGAATATTTCTTGGTTTCACTTTTGTGTAACCATCAGATGGATCATGAGAGGGGGGAGGGGACAGCACACAGCCATTCTAGTTGAGCAAGAACTCTGTGCAGCTGCCTACGCCACCTTGTTGTGCCCCAGAGAACGGCTTCTCCTGGCAGGGGCTGCCTGTGCACCTTGCAGGAAGGGTGAAGGAGGGAGAGGAGCCTGGGAGTTATGAAGGAGTTTCAGAATGTTTGGTCTGTTCTGCCTCCTGCCCTGGAGGTCACCATTCCAGTGCCCTGAATGGTCTCCTGTCTCTGGGGTAATTCCCCATGCTGGGGTGAGCCTGAGGGCAGCGGAGCTACTGGCCTCCCGAGGCCACACAGAAGTCCAGCAGGATTGGGGCAATGGCGAAAAGGCTAATAAAAGAAAGATGTGTCCTGTCGGGAGGAGAAAGGCAGAAGGCTGGAAAAGAACCCTGGGTTGAAAACTGTTTCTTCAGGGTAAAACGATAAGGCCTTGCTAGGAGCCTCTAATGACCCCTTGTGCAAAATTCTAGATTTCCTCTCAGGCCCCCGAGGGTGGGAGTGGGCTCAGCAAAGGTGTCTGTGGTCTCTTTAATATCAAACTTCAGTGAGATGTGACCCTAGGTGTTTAAAAATACCCAAGGACAAGTTATTTACTGAGAATCAGGTGAATTAGTAAATGGTGCTTTTGCTAAGTAACAGGCAGTTTTACGGGTAATGAAGTTACATTAAAAGAAAGCTTCATAGGTCAATCAACAGGGGCTAGAAAATTATGTATATTTTGGGAGAAAAATCAACGAGGATGGCAACAGTGCACGCGTGGAAGGAATCCTCTTCCCAATAGTTTATTAAGTGTGGGGGGGGGGGGCTCGGAATTCAACCCTTGTGTAAATAACATTTACATAATTTAAACAATTTCTTGGCTTTGTTGCCCCAGCTGCCCAAGGCCCAGAAGTCCCTCCCATCTCCAAAAGGAAGCAGAGAGTCACAAGGTCTCAGAGAGCCTCGGAGTTAATGGCATGTATCATTTACATTGAGGGCATGACGGGTTTGCAAACAGAGACTCACCACTGAGTGATGAAATGTACAAACGGCTCCGAGAACTCTCCAAGCGGAAGGACTGGTGAATCCTGGGAGGGAGGAGGACACAAGTCACCCAAAGTCACAACATTGTTTTCTTCTTTCTTCCTTTTCCACCCTCCACCCGCACCTCACAGAGGAGCTGCAATGGCGGAAGGCCTCATCCAATTAAGAGGCCTGGCCGAACCCTCCTCCACACGGTGAAGATGCCAAATTTCAAGCCACACACATTTTACAATGGTGAGAAACACGAGAGCAGAAAGGGAGGGGAGGTGAAAAAAGGACAATGATAGCCACGGGGTAGGAAGGAAGGTAGGGAAAGTGTAAATGAGAAATTAATGATTATTTAAGTAACACGCAAATGGTCTTGTAATTAACAAAGAGCTGGGAAAATTATTCTTGTTTTGACCTTTGTTTCTTTTCCTGGATTTGCTATTTATTTACACTTCCTGTTATTTACATTTTATTTGTAGATCTGACTGCTCTTAACTGCTTGCCCCTTGCTGCATATTTGCATCTGGCTTTTGTGTTTTTTTAATTTAAAAGTAAGACACTTTAGAGGGTGAGATGTTTCCCGGAGAAGGGATTTCAGCTTTTCTGCCAGTCTGGGCTGACTGTTAGGAAGCCCAGGCATTAGGGACATAATGGGAAACTCCCACCTCCGTAACCAGACCCGGAAAAAAAAAAAAAAGAAAAGGAAAAACAAAAACCAGCAGTGGAGGTGGCAGCAACTCAGAAAGAGCAGAAAACTACATGGCAACAAATGACGGGGCTTCGTGACCCAGGGAGAGAACCCCATTGCCATTCGCAGAGGAAGGCTTTAAGAATTTAGGAGTTTTTCCACGAGTGACAGAGAGCGCCGCTGTGTTTATAGCGTGGCAGCTCAGGATGTAATGAAATTACACTGCAGAGTACTTCACCAGTCATCTCATTAGGGCTACAGTTGGAACAAGAGAGCCGCACAAAGTAGGCAGCTGCAAATGACTCCATTCTCATGTATTCTCATTTGCTATTAAAAATACCTTTCGGCGCCTTTTCCCCTCCCTGACATCCCTACACAAAGTGCCCTGCAAAGTATGATACATGCACCTATTTAAATTAACAAAGGAATGACTTATTTTAATCTCCCTGTGCTTTGGAGTGCTTTGGCCATTTGGATGAGCAATATATCATTACATACAACCTTCCAGCGCTGCAGGCTAGGAACTCAGAGCATGCAGCATTTGGTGGGAGCCAAACAATTTCTCTAGCACACAACTGTGTCAAATGCATGCATGTATTCATTATGGAGAAGGAGAGGAAATGGCTTTGATGTAGAGGAAAGGGGAAGAAGATAAAAGCACCTCTGCACTGTGCGTGTCATTATCAATGGTGGCAGACAGAACAACCGCACAGCCTCCTATGTGATTAGTAAATATACATATAATTGCTGTGGCCAATTATCAGAAAAATGAGATCGGTAATTACAAGACAGAAAATTAACTAGAACTCTTATTAAGGCTTTGTTTCCGATTCAAACAATTTGGAAACTGCTGGAAAATACAATTAAATCAAAAGGAACTGAGGGGGCCAAGGCAGCCAAAAAAAAAAAAAAAAGGTGTGTGTGTGTGCAAAGATGGACAAGATATATTTTGGCTTCTGTGAGTGCACCCTCTGAATTGATTCATCCGGTGGAAGCCAGACAGGGAGAGGGTGGCTGCAGTTCCAAACTTGAAATGTCCTCAGTAGAGAAAGCCTTGCAGGAGGAGAGAAAACAAAGGGAAGGGGGTGTGAATAAAGCTCAGGTTCAGAGCGACACTTCCGCACTCAAGGGCAGTACAAAGCAGGGTGAAGTAGCTGCTCAAAGGCGTGAGACCCACAAGAGCAGACCAGCCTCGGTCATGTACTGCAAAATGGCCAGACTCCCATTGGTTGGAAAAGCAAAAACAAAGTGAGGCACCATTTCCAACTTGTTTTGAGGAAAGTCATCGTGTGTGTGTGTCTGTGTGTCTGTGTGTCTGTGTGTGTGACTGTGCCTGGGCCAAGAAATGACGTTTTAGCTAGTGGTGGTTGGTATACACTTTCAGTCCCAGCGCTCAGCAGGTAGATGGACCTCTTGTGTTTAAGGCCAAGTTGGTCTACATAGTCATTTCCCAGACAGCCAAGGCTACATAGTGAGACCCTGTCTCAGAAAAAAAGACAAAGAACACCCAGAAATGTTAGACACGTTAGTGTCTTCAACAACCACGACTGAGAAGTGGTTAAAAGTTGAAAAAATTATGGACTCTGATGCACAAAGAAACGCCTCTAACTGTCCCTGCACGACCCTTTTCTTTCCTGGGTGGGTGTGGTACTCCACCTATCTGAGTGACAGTTGCTTTATTAATTTATTCACTTATTTTTTGAGACAGAGTTATATTCTACATCCCTGGCTGGCCCTGAACTCAGAGCTCCACCTGCCTCTGTCTCCTGAGTGCTGGCACTAAAGGTGTGCGCCACCAAACACTGTCCATAGTTGCTTTTGAATGCAGTATTTAGGAGAAAAAGCTTAATGTCTTCATGTGACTGAATATTTACCAAGATGGTTAAATTGGTCTGGATTTCTGCAAAGCTCCTGTATAAGATACGATGCTAATGCAGCCTTTGCTTCAAGGGGGGATGCAGAAAGTCACTGATGAATCAGAGGCTGGGCAGCTTTGTTGAAATGAAGGGGTCTTTTTAACCCAGCGGAAGGGAAATGAGACATGCAGCACCTTGTATGGATGCTTAATTTTATTTAAGACCCAATATTATATCCTGTTACATCCCTCGTATTATAAAACTACGGAACACTGGGTGGTAGCCGTGAATAATTTATTTTACTTCGGAAACACCAGCCCGTGTAGAATTTGGAGAGCCACAGAGAGCAGATTCTCATCTCAGTGGGGCCGGGGAGAAATCACTCATCGGAGATGTGTGGGGGCCAGTCTCATCTCATGTGCATGCTGCCGGATACTGCTCCTTCGTTTTAAAATCCTCGTCTCTTGCCTGCCTCAAGGAAGGCTGTTCTGGGAAGCGGAGGGCTGGCTAAAAGGTGGGTGGAGGAAACCACACAGGCAAACAGAGGCAAAGCGGGCCCTGAGAGAGCTTTGTAGTCCACAAAAACAGGCTGCTGACACACCAAGACAGCAGACAGCCCGAGCATATTCGTGCTGCTGCAGAGATGCTTTCAGACACATTTTCCTCCTTCCTTCCTTCTTCCCTCCCTTCCTTCCTTCCTTCCTTCCTTCCTTCCTTCCTTCCTTCCTTCCTTCCTTCCTCCCTCCCTCCCTCCCTCCCTCCCTCCCTCCCTCCCTCCTTTCTTCCTTTTTGAGACAGTTTCTTTGTGCAGTTCTGGCCATCCTGGAACTCACTATGTAGACCAGGCTACATAGTCATTGAACTCAGGAGATTGCCTGCCTCTGCCTCCTGAGTACTGAGATTAAAGGTGTGCACCACCACTGCTTGGCTATTTTTTTTTCTTTCTTAAAGAAAATAAAATTAGAAGTTAGTGTAGCTCATGATGAGAAAGACCTCCAAGAATCTGCCCATTTTGTTATTTTGTTCAAATTTTAGGGAAGGAGGGAGGTCAGACACACACTGAACTTGGGTTCTGGCTTCCCTAGGGTGTACCAGAAGAGGAAGTGTCCTATCATGGGATGGGGCGGGAGGGGGGAATTGGAGGATTTGAGACCCATCCTGAGGGATTCAGTGACTCCAGTAAAGGAGATGCCATGTATCAAAAACATCCTCCTGTGAACTGGGCTCAGGCAAGAGGGAGAAAAGGACTGGAAAACATGCACGTCGACTGAAGAAGCGGGTAAACTACCGCCTCTGCTGTGCTGGTGGTGGAAACTGGGAGGAATGGGCAATACAAGCCTTTCGGTCCTGGGGACTGATGTCACCTTCAGGGCTTTCCTAGTTAGAAGCTTTCTGTAAGCATCTAAGCACGAAGGTCTAGACCACATGAGCAGGTACAACTTTAGCCAAAAGCTTTAACCTGAGATTTGAATCCCCAAACAACTTTAGAACCCCGCTAAGAAACACAAGCTGGATCCTGCCGCAGAGCAGGCAGCTGCTATATGACAGCAGCCACCACGAAGCATTTCCGTAAGCAGCTCTGGGCATGCAGGGGGACAGTCTGCAGTTTCAGAGGGTTCATGACTATCTGGTAAGTTCCTTCTGCCAAACAACTGAACACAGGCAGGCCGCACACCAGAGAACAGCGAAGGACACTGGGAAAAAAGTTTGAATGATGCCTTTGCCTTGTGAGTAATGAACAGTTCAGCGGGGTCAACCCATTACAACCCAAACTGTTTAATTATTAATTATGCACAATCTCCGAGCAAAGGGACAAGTCCGGAATGTTTAATGTGTGCCAACTTCAACTGGACCCTCTCCCTGGGTATTCTGTTATTAGCACTTGTCAGCTAGGTACTCAGGCATAAAAAAAAGGCAAGCAGCAGAAAAGCGCTCTCTCTCTCTCTCTCTCTCTCTCTCTCTCTCTCTCTCTCTCTCTCTCTCTCTGTGTGTGTGTGTGTGTGTACCTGCACACTCACAGAGGTGGAAGAAGGAAGAAGTTTAGACATCCAGACCCAGACAGATGCTGCCAGCTCACACACAGAGCAAGTCTCCCGACGAGCACAGTGGCAGGAAGGAGGGCCCTCTGAACACAGAGAAACTGAGAAAAAGCTTTAGAAACAACTGGCTTAAAACAGAGGTCACTATCGTAAAAGAGAGGTCCTGCTTGAAAACCACTTTTCTTGGCTTTAAAACGATCCCTATGAGACTGGAAAGATGCCTCTGCCTGTAAGAGCGTGGGGGATGCTTTTCCAGAGGTCTGGTTCCCGGTACTGTAACCCCAATTCCAGCAGACCCGACTCCTCTTCTGTATGCCATAGGCACTTACATTCATATGCACAAATCTCTATGCAGACATGTACACATGCGTATAATTTAAAAAAATAAAAACAAATCTTTGAAAAGATCTGTGCCATTAATGCTTATCTCTAACACCCCTCCTCCCAACCCCACCAATAACCACGTTATATTG